GCCTCCAACCTACTTGCGATGGCCTCCAACCTAATAGCGATGGCCTCTAACCTAATAGCGATGGCCCCTAACCTACTTGCAATGGCCTCCAGCCCAATAGCGATGGCCTCCAACCTAATAGCGATGGCCTCCAACCTACTTGCGATGGCCTCCACCCTAATAGCGATGGCCTCCTACCTATAATAGCGATGGCCTCCAACCTACTTGCGATGGCCTCCAACCTACTTGCGATGGCCTCCAACCTAATCGCGATGGCCTCCAACCTTGTAGCGATGGCCTCCAACCTACTTGCGAAGGCCTCCAACCTAATAGCAATGGCCTCCAACCTAATAGCAATGGCCTCCAACCTACTTGCGATGGCCTCCAACCTACTTGTGAAGGCCTCCAACCTAATAGTGATGTCCAACCAACTAGCGATGGCCTCCAACCTGATAGCGATGGCCTCCAACCTACTTGCGATGGCCTCCACCTAATAGCGATGGCCTCCAACCTACTTGCGAAGGCCTCCAACCTAATAGCGATGGCCTCCAACCTAATAGCGATGGCCTCCAACCTACTTGCGATGGCCTCCACCTAATAGCGTCCTAATACTAGTTGCAGGCCGACATCTCTAAAATAGACTGTTACTTAGTTTACAGACTAGACTGTGGACTGACGGCCATGTGCTTTTTCCGACCGCATCGACTTGGTTGACTGGGAAAATCATGTGAAGCAACCGACCCATCAGACCCGCTGGGGAAGCAGCAACCCCGCTGGAGTTGTTCAGCGTAAAGAAAGAGATGTTCACTTGAACCATTTCATGCCACCCTGAGAATCCGGGCCCTGAAGCACAGTTAGGCTTTTGAGGGTACGGGCCCCTGCTTGGAGGTCCCGCGACCCCTGCGCTGGAGGGCCCAAGGATTCCAGGACCATCCTGTCTGGGTGTCTTGGCTGGAGATCCCGGATAGTAGTGTGGAGTAGTCTCCATGGTGCAGCCAGCACAGCCAGACAGGATGGTCCAGGTAGATGTGTTCCAGGGGTGACGAAACAATCTGGTGGAGCGTTCAGCAGCGATGGACACCGCTTCTGAACGCTTCTCTCTCTCTCTCTCTGTCTCTCTCTCTCTCTCTCTCTCTCTGTGCCAAAACGTCGGTGTTGTGACATGGCTGAAACCATGACATACGACTGTGGGTCAAAACCGGGACCCCTTAGTCCCCGGTAGGTTGACCTCCCTAGTAGTCTATTCTGTGCATCTTCGGTAGTCAACCAGGGTGTGTCGCAGTTTTGACCCACTGCCATACGCTCCATGGAAGTGGATGGCATGGCCCATGGCCCATGACCCTTTTCCTCCAGGTGGTTTTCCACTTCCATGCCTTCGTGACTCGGAGTGTAAGCCTCAAATTCTGTACCAGGCCAATCCCCAGTATGAATTAACACGGTCCATGGTGATTCGACCAGTGTGCTCACCAATGTAAAACCGTCAATGTGCTCACCATGACAAGTGATGGTGGCAAGATGGTGACACTTCCTGGTACCTATGATACTCTAGGGCTCTCGGATCAGGTTGGTCTACCCCGAACCATAGCGTCTACCCCGTTTGGGTCTAAGTGAAGCCATAGCAGCTGGACTGCATGGAATTCTGGCTGGAACCTTCTTCACGGGATCTTGCCAGGCTTGCTGACCTTGTGAGGTTGATCTGAGCCCTCTTGACTTCCGCACTGTGTTCCCATTCTCCGAGGCCGCGAACATACGACATCAAGCAAGGCCACAGGAAATCTCCATGCGCACGGCCAGCGTGGAGTTAAAGAGACCAAGTGAAATGCTTGGGAACGTTCCCAAGAGGTTTTACCACTTCAACTGGCTGTTGAAGAATCTTCGTGAATGTCATGGTTTGGATTCTGTTTGTGTGCAAATCTCAGAGCAGTCTACACAGGATCTGTGCAAACATCACAAAGCTGTGCTTTAGCTGCTTTAGCTGTTCAAGATTTGTGACTTGCTTCCTTTCATATGAGATATCCTTCCCTCACCCACAAATTGGCGTACAATTGCCTGCCTTGAGCCCATCGAGAAAAAGGTGCAAACGCACACGCTTGATCCAGTCACCCAGTGGTCGGGCACGTAGTGCGTCGCACGCAGTGCGACGTGAGCCTCTTTTCAACCACAGGGCGCCGAACAGGAGCCCATTCAGGACCACAGGGCTACGAACATTGCAGCTGAAAAATGGGCAACTTTGCGCCTGGGTGGTCGAGCTACAAGCGATTGGGACGGTCACAGCGGTTGGAGAAAAAACGATTCTTCTGCTCGAACAAGTGATGCAAATGGCAGGAGCGAACCCCCAATCCAATTGATCCAAAGATCATGGAAACGCTGTGCTTGGCTCAAACTCTTGGAGGCAAGGGCCTCAAGTCCCAAAAACGTTCCAAGCCAAGCACTGGAAGAGAAATTGCAGCCACACGACCCACCGCGAGGGTCTGAGAGAGACTCAGACCGTCCTATCTCAAGAGGGCTGCCATGATCTCCGTGAGCCGTTCCTGAATTCCAATCGCCAAGGTGGATCCGAGGATCAAATAGATCCTTGGAGCAGAAATGGAGATTCAAGGCTGCCTAGGAGCATCCCCATCCACAACACTAGAAAAGTGTCTGGGATCCCCACAATACCAAAATCGGAAAAGAACAGACAAACCAATGGCTATGGCTGTGGCTCAAAAATAGGGTGCCCCCATAAAACCCCACACCTAGTTTCTTCAACGAACCACCGAACCACCTGACTAGAACCCTTCGAATTCCATCGGTTCACTCTTTGAGCCACGCAAAAACACCCCATCTCTTCCCAGATCTGTCACCCATTTCGTCAAGGCTCCCCTTGAAAAGGCTTCCGCGCGTGAAGCCCAACAACCCGTGCTGCGTCCAGATCTCACCCGCCGTCGCTCGGACGCTCGTATAGCGCACAGGATCCACCTCACGTCCGACGCGCCCGGGGACGGTGGGGGCGAACCGTCCGTTGTCGCGAACGGCGGAATCGCGGCACGAAGACGTGGCGAACGGCCGGGGAATCGATGCTTGTCCAAGGGCACGGCGACGTGGTCGGCACCGCTACGTGGTGGACCTGGCCACCTAAAGCAGAGTAGATGGCACAATTCCCAAAAGGAGGTTTATATGGGCTTTCATCAAGGAGACATCTTGGAGGTCTGTGCCATTTCTCACCTCTGAAACCTCTGTAGATCAGCAAGTGACCTTTCTGCCACGGCACCGGCACCCCCCCCCCCTCCGTTTGGAACCGGCATCCCGACGAACTGGTTCAAGGATCGTGTTTTCCCTCCCTGAAGTGTGGAGAGGACCGGGCCTCACAGAAGGATCTGAATTCTTTCCTTTGTCCTGACCAATGTTAGGAAGGATCTCTTTTGAACCAACATCCGACATGCTCTTTGATCATCTTTGATCGAAACGGAAGCCGCGACGGAACGGGCCGAAACGGGAGCCATGGATGAAAACCCCTTTGGGTCGCTCCGTTCTCCGACCGGGACCCGTGGTGCGGCGAGGTCCGATGTCTGAAGCCGGTGCCGGTATCCATGGAAACAGGCGACAAACGCCGATCCGCCAACGATTCAATACCTGACAGGAAGGAAATGAATCCTTCTTTCGGTGCATGGGAGAAAAAAGAAAACCATGGTGTGATGGCACAGCCAGGTTCGTCCCCATGCCTGCATTTTCGTCTTGATGTTGTCACCAGCCATGTTGAAGAACGTCAGGTAGGTGCCTTGCAAAGCACATCTTAGACAGGAACCCGTGACGTCCTGTTTGATCCATGCGGGGGATGTTCCTTGAAACACCGGCCATGTTCACACACACAAGGGGTGTCGACTCACCGGGGCTGGTGTTCTTGGCTTTGGGCAAAGCCGTGACTTGGAGTGGTTGGCCAAGTGGCCAAGGGCTAGGGCTAGACGTGGTATCAAGATGTGGCTTCTGTTCTCAAAGGGCTCGGTTGGTCGTCCGCATCCCAGGCCTCTTGGGGATGTGAAGGTGTTCAAGAAGAGGACGCAGTGTCCACCACCACCGTCTCAAGTCACCCTCTTACGAACAATACGACTCTATACGAGGATGGTGACAGGTGATCTCAATGAACCTCAGTTATACCAGCACCCTCCAACAGGTCTCATCTGGTGACTTTTGTAGACTTAAAAGTGTCAGGTGGTGACCTGTGAAGTCGGGTGCTGGTATATGTAATCTTAAATGAATCCATGTTTTCATGTTTTGTCGTAGACTTGTTCCACCTCCGTTCGTGTCCGTTCCACACACCTGCTGGGACTCTCGTCCTTGTCCACCCCGTTCAGCACCCGTCCGTTCCTTTCCAAACGGTGAGCACAACACAGACGTCCAAGGCTCCAAGGGTGGCAGCCTCAAAGGTGAGCACATTCGCCTGGTTCTTCTTTTCCAGACCTTGGCGCTTTCACCGCGTGCAGCGTGGAAGGACGGGAGAAGGAACAAAAAAGTCCGTGAGCGGGGGAGTCTCAGAGTCCAATTGGTGAGCGGGGGAGTCTCAGACTGAAGAAACTGGATTGATGGGAAACCAAACACTTGATGCTTTACACCTTGTTACACGAGCAAGCTCGCTGCCAATGAAACATCCGATTCTACAGTTGAAACACACATCGTCAACCGCTGCCCTTGAGTCCCTTGAGCATCCACGCTTCGCAGCCAATCCAGGTGATCTTGAAACCACTGGGGCGCGTTCTCGGGCGTTCGATCCACAGCGTTGTGGAGGAAGCGCTTCCACTCGAAGAAGGTGAAATTCCAAGAGAAGTTCCGCACCTCACCGCGTTCTCCGTTGTGCTCCGCCGGGCGCACCGCCCCGTTCCGAGTTCGGCGGAGAAGATGTTCGCGGGCGAACGAGTTCGACGCCACTTTCTCGCTTGGAGAGGGCACCGAACGCGGGCAATTTCTGGTGACGCGGTGGATGGGGAGAAACAGACAATTGTTTTTCTTGTGCCCCCGTGCGCAGGGTTTGTGGAATGGTCTGGAGACGTTCTCCGACCCTTTATATGATACAATTGTTTTACTGTAGGAGGGTTTGACTCAGCTGACCATTGCTGTGAGATCAAGTGAGGGACCGACTGCCGGTGCCAAGTGGCCCAAAGCCCGCCGGCGCCCGCCCAGGCACCCAGCAGCAGGTTGCCACGTGCCTTGTTTCGCGCGGAAATCAAAGGCGGGGATGAAGTCATCGCAGAAGTGGATGAAGATAAAATCACCCATCAACCAATCAACTACCAGCGCCCAACTCTACAGGTCTCCCAAAGAGGGTTCTTAGGCCCTGTTGAACTGAGGTCTCAATTGCTGGTAATTGTAGAATCGTCATAACACCCCCGACATGAGTAAAACCTTCAGGTCTGGCATGGTGAATATATCAACCGTCTATCAGTCTATCATGACTCATGACTCTGACTCCAAGGGATTTTGGGGAGCCGGCTCAACAAAACCGCCCATTTTGGGGGGGTCAAAACATCCAGTCGACCAGTCCACCATGGAGGTTGAGACAACACCAGGGAGGTCTGTCTGGATCCACGTCTTCACCCCACGAAAAACCTTGAGGACCCACAATGTCTGTAGGGAACATTCCAAGATGCACTCGATGTAGAATCAATTGTTGCGGTCGCGAGGAATTTCTTGGAAGTGGCGCAAGTTGGGCTGCCAACAGTGCTTAAAGTTGACATGTGTGCACAGACCGGGTCAGAGGGAACCCTCGATGGGCGGTTTCCCAAATCCGGAGTACCTTCTTTTCACTGGGGGAAGTCGTCCTGCTCCACGTCCAGGCTTCGGAGGTTCGGTAGCTCCGAAGCCTGGCACCCAGCACTGACGAGGTGTTCAGCCGGAAGGAAGGAAGAGCTGTAGCTTTCAGAAGCTTTGAGAAGGAAGACCACCCAGGTCTGGATTTTCTGCCAACGGCGGGTGAGTCAAACCCTCCTTCACCAAAACATGGTTTCGGTTGACGTACCTTAAAGGGATCCCCAAACGATCCATGCAAGCAAATACGATTATATATACTTTAAAATAGTAAATACAGTATATATCATATTGAGATATATATATATATACCAGGGAACCCAAATGTGCATTTTTTTCAAACACGTTCGCACAAAAATTCCGTGCTTCCGGCCTTTTTTGTCAAATGGACAAATTTGCTGGAATTCCTCAAAATATTGGGTTTGATCGGGTTTTATCAATATAATTTGTTTGGGTTTTTGTCAAAAAAATGTTGATAAAGTTTGGGTTTCATATGGGTTTGCTTTGGTACGGTATTGTTTTTTGTCCATACGGCTAAATACACTAATTCGTTAATAGAAATGTCCATACGATAAATTTTGTCCAAAGATGGCCTTCGCACAAAAAAAAAGTGTTCATACGCCTTTCCAGGTATATATTATATGATCTACATTCACCACCAAAACCACCAGTCATGAAACGGCCATAGAAATGCGCCACCATGAATCATCTGAGATCTGTTGACGCCGGCGTCTTTGACGTGCACCACCGGGAGACCCCGGTCTCCCCCGGCCTCGCAGGCGATGCGCAAGGACTCGCGATAGGAGCCGATCTGCTTGAGGCCTCGGTGTGTGGCCCGAAGTGTCGGCAAAGTTCGAACGGCACGCCTTGACTGCCCAGAGTCCCGCACATTCCCGCCGTGTCCGGTGGAACTTGGAATCGGCAGATGTTGCCGTGTCCGTTTATCGCCGGGGCGCCCGTCACAAGGATCCACCTCTCTAGGTCCCAATGCATCTTCCCGAAGTGACAGAAGCTCAGCGGCGAAACCCCTTCTTGGCCCAACAGCGCTGCTTCCCCTCCCAAAAAAGGGAGAGAAGCTGCACCGACCCCCTTCCGCGCAGCCTGCCAGTCTTCGTTCCACTCCTCGAAACCCCCCTCCTCCGACCCTGCACCACTCGTCCCAAGCGGCCCATGTGCACTCCAAAGCGTTCGCTCCACCCAGTGAGCGCCACCTCCCCAGCCGTGGAGAGCGCCGTGGCAGCCGCGAGCCCCCCCATGAGCGCCGAACGAGGAGCGGAGCTCCTGGTAGAGGGCCATGCAGAGGGGCACCTGGCGACGGCGCCGTGGGTTCGGATGTCTCCCGTCCCAGGTTGAAGAGGCCCTGTTCCAGCCTGTGGCCTGCACGGAGATCTTCGAATGTCCGGAGCTCGCCGTTCTCGGTTACTGTAGATGAATTTGGGGGGGACTCCGGAGCTCGTCCGTCATATCCATGGTCACGCGGCGCACTTTCCCGCCCCTTCTTGGGTCTCTCCTGCTCGGTCCAAGCATCTCGATGTGTCTCCACGTCTAGATGTCGTCAGGAAGCCGGTCCGTTTCTTTCACTCTTCTTTGGGATGCAGGGTACTCAAACTTCTTCCCGCTTTCTGAGTCTGATCCCAAATAAAATCATCCGAATGTATCCGAATCCCATGTCCCTAAGGCAGCAAACACAGCAAAGACTACAACCCCCAGAACCATTCGCAGTGAGAAAACCTAGTTTCAGGTCGCACATCCCTCCCTTCTGCTCTCCTCTCTCTCTCTCTCTCTCTCCCTCTCTCTCTACCTCTCACGACCACACCATATTCATGGCGTGTACGGGTTCGTAGAAGCATGTGGCTCTGTCCGCTGGTCGCCTTCATCCCCCAATGGACCGTCTCATTCAGCAAGGTCACCTCTCGTGCACGGCCGCGGGCGCGCAGGGCGCGCGCAAGAAGCGCGCTTGCGGCACGGTCGACTTCGGCCGTGGCGTCCGAAGTCAGAAACGCTTTCGACCAATTCGGCGAACCATGGTTCAACAGTTCAACATGTCTTTTTCGAACCAGGACAGCTTCAATTCCTATCCTCCACTTCAGATGCAGCTGTTGCTGTGGATTCGAAACCCAGCGGTCTCTCCGTTCCCAGGATCCTGCCGAGGAGCTGCCGGGCGCCAGAATTTCAGGAAGCCCAGGGGCGTCCATTGCCCCGACTCCGACTTCAAATGCAGACTGGCCATAATCTGAAGCCTCAGCCCGGACGACAGATTCCGCTGGAAGACACCGAAGAAACCGACCGGGAAGATTCTGTCATGCAAGCATGAAGGTAGGCATGGTTGGACCTGGCATATTAGAGGGCGCCCCGGAAGTATCATACAGTGGAGAGTGGCGGGGATAGACTTTTTGGTGGGTGGCCGGGGCTGCCGGACACGAAAAAAGTCGATTGTGAGTGTTGGCTGAGAGTGGTGAGGACCCATCGTCGTTCTCGGCTCCACTGCGACTGAGGCACGAGGTCGGAAGGTTGCAGCTGAATTGCTGAGACGTCCAACGGGCATAGTTCAAGTATTGGAGACATAAATATTTTGTCGCACCTGAATGGTGTTGATCCCAAAAAGGTACACAGCTTTCAGGTGCAAACTGTCTAAGTAGAGGGGCTACTGACCGAACTTCATCCTTTCTTTTGGCCACGAAATGTGTTGCAAAACGACATGTTGCATGTTTTTTCACTCACCGTCTTCACCATCCTCACCTCCTTTAGCTCCGTTTAAGGCCAAAGTGGTGTAGCCAGCCGCCAGAGGGAATGGCAACGCATCCCGATCCATGGCTCGGGATAGACGCGACCTTCCACGTCACATCATCTAGAGATATAGCGATGCCCCTTGCTACTAGTAACTAGTAGCGTCTTGTTACTAGTATGGCCAGGAGCTACTAGTAGCTTCTTGCTCCTAGTAGCGATGCCAGGAGCCCCCTAGTAGCTTCTCGCTATCAGTGAATATTTAATTGTAAAAATAGTAATAGTAAAAATAATTGTGTTTAAAAAATGTATGATTTGATGTTTACAAATGTTTGCAGAGTTTTGTTTCTGATGTCTCATTTGGTGGATTTCATGTTTACGGAGTTTTTTCTGTTTATTTCATCTGTTGCATCCTGGATGTTGTATTTTTTCCGGTCGCCGAAAGGTGCAAAAGGTGCCTCCTCTTCGCGAGAAGGAGTACCGCAGACTGTGCAACTCTTATGTTCTTTGATTCGGTTCGGCTTCTTTTATCAGCAGCATGAACGTTGTGGTGCTGCGTGGTCCTCATGGCATTCCACTGGTTCAATGCTTGAAACAAGGTGGTCGCATCGGTCGTCACGTCTGGTCGTCACATTGGAACATATGCTATGTATTGCGATGTCCTCTTTCAGCTACCCTCACAAAGGAATCAAAGAGCCAGGACATATAGTGATTCCCAAATAATTACCTAGAAACGGTGTCCAATACATTTTGAGTGGGGAGCTACTTTTCTATCTATTTTGGTGGTCTATATAATGGAGCCTTGCACCGACTCACGCTTTGACTCTTGACATCCAACATCTTCGAACTTACGACATCTCAAGGCGGCCTTCTTTTTACCTTCGCCAGGTAGACAGGTGCCTATTGCTCCAGCTCTTTCAGAGCCGTTTTCAAGTTCTGAATTTCTTCTTCCCGATGGGCTTTCTGTAGGGCAGCCTCCGAGTCGGAAGACAAACATTGTCCTGCCAGCTCTTTGTGATACTGCTCGGCAGACTCAAGCCTTGGAGAAAGAAAAGACATTTGATGAGCCTACCCTGCACCCTAGGCCTACCGATAGGGGTAGGGATAGGTCGGATAGGCCTGCGGTAAGCAGGCGTCCAGGCGTCCGAGATAGGGTAGCCCCCGACCGGCCGATCCAACCCTGGGTCGACTCTACCCGTATACGAGTTCAGTTTTCGCTTTGATGCCGTGACCGTGGGATACCGCGTGGACTCGGTTGACCAACCGCTTCCGTCGCTGTGGACTCGGTGTCGTGTCTTCGGATTCTGCGCACGGGCTGCTTGAGGTGTTGGTTTTTTCTCAACTCGGAATCCGGTTTTTCCGGAGATGGAACAGTCCCAGCTGAAAGTCTCCCACCATCCAGAAATGCAGCGTCTTTGGGAACGTTTGGAACCCTCTGGCTGCAGCTGAAATGCTCTGCTTCCGAGGAAGCCAAATCAGCCTCCTTCTGGGCCAAGACTCTGCTTTGCTCCGACTTCTTCTCGTCGAAATGCTCCGCGTCCGTCTGCTTGCTGGCCTTTGGAGACCCGCAGAAAACTCAAGATCACCCCCAGGCCTGAAGAGGATGGAGTTCTCTTATCCATCTGCGATCATCTGCGTGCAGGATCGGGAGAGGTTGAAAATAATCCCATCGTCAAAAGAGAATCAAAGAGGTTGAAAAGTGAACCCCGTCGTGGATCAATGGTGGATCAAAACCGCACGTTCACCATGCCGACTCTTTCGTCTATTTGGTCATCCACGTCCCCACGTGGATGACCCAAATGAGATTCTTGGTGCGTCACCAGACAGTTTAGTAAAGTATACATGTCAAGGACATCATTTCACTGAGTCCAGTCATGCACAAACAGTACTCAATGAGGTCAGTCAGACCCAGCAACCAAACACTGGAAACCCTGCGAGGGTGGTCCTCCACGTCCATTCCCGACTCAACGACCCAAACTGCAACCAAACTTGGGTCGGTCGAAAGTGGGTCGGTCGAAACCGGGACGGCCCAAACGTTTCACCATCTGGGCACGGAGGGCGCGGAGGGCGCCCTCCAGCCAAAAATGCGCCCCAGCAAATCGCTGGCCTTGTCCGCGTTGGAGTCCGCCTTGAAGGTCTTGAACTCCTGCTCCGCCGCATTCTCCTGAGCCTTCGTCTCGGCTTCCAGTCTCGAAAAATCCCCCAAGACCGTCTCCAAGAGCTTCACCACGCCTGGCGCTTCGCCGAAACGTCACCCCGAGCGCCGGGGAGCGCGACCCAAACCGCGGTGCCAGCAGGTCGACCTTGGAACGGCACCAGTTGGATGAATGAGTCTGGGATGTTGAAGGGCTCCAACAAAACGAGGGTGATTCTGGACATGATTCTCAACTGCATGTGATGTTTTCTTGCCAAAAGAGGAGCCCAAGAAATCCTTTAGGTCATAGGTCACCCGATGGTTCCACAGATCCGCTCCACATGTGTTTGCCCTGCCATTCCGGTGGCTTGGAGTAGGGCTTCGACCCACAGCTGGAAGGGCCCAGCAACCAGGAAGGAGTCAGAAAGAGAATGAAGACACCCAAAGGAAACATACCACATGTCATACGTGTCACCTATAGGCACATGTCATGCCGCGGCTACGGGGCCCACCCTGCTGCCGTCGCTGTCGCCTGTCTTCGAGTTCTCCTGCACGAAGGAGATGCCCTCGCTCTTCTCGAAGGCATCTTGGAGGAGCTTCAGCGCCTCACAGGCCGATGACGGAACGAGGCGCTTGGCAGGAGACCCCAGGCAGGGGGCTTCGTTGGTTTCGGAACTCTTCTAGTCTGAAGGTCTTGGTGGTCTTTTCCCTGGATGGTCAGTCAAACTTGAACCACAGCTGGGAGTAACCATGAAGCAACCTACTAACCTAAACTAAAGGCAGCAGGCAAGACAGATGCGGTTCGCACTCCTCTTGGGGCGAAGTTCACTCAAATGATTCACAGTTTGTGCTCAAAAAAGCTGCAGATGCTCGAGCAGTGTCTCGGATTGGGAGGACCAACCAATGAGAGTTGAGAAAAAGGGTGTGGCTAAAGAGTCAACATCATTGCTTCGCAGGACAGTTACCAGTTACCAAAAAAACAAGAACCCCTTGATCCTCCCAGCAGTCTCCCAAAGACAGCATCCCAATCTCTCTTTTCATCTTGGCCTCGAGACCCTCATTGAAAGCTCGGACCAAACACATCCGACCAAGACCTCGACCACCGGTTCTGCACGTGGACTGCCCGGCCTCCGTCACCGCCTCCTGTGCCGCCTGCGCCTCAAAGAGGGTCCGGCGGTTCTGGGCCTTCTCGTCGCTGCGGAGGCGCGTGGCTTCCGAGAGGGCGGTGCCTGGGAGGCATCGCTTGACCAGGCAGAGGCACCGCAGCCACCAGCTCGGAAGCAGAAGTATGGGACATGTGTCCACTTGATGGTAGCCGAGGTGACCATTTTGGAGGATGGATTTATGCGATCCAGGAAGAAGAGCTAAGAGAAACAACATCTGACAAATCTATACAAA